AATGACATTAATGATATGGTTATTGTGATATGGTTATTTTACCAGTTCTTTTGGCTATATTTATTTCTCTTTTTTTGTTGCATAAATATTGACATATGTACTCATATATATTTGATATTATGATTTTCAGGTGTAATAGCAATGCAGTACTAAAAATCTTATTGCATTAAAACGGAATGTCAGATAATAACTTGCAGCATATTTCATATGGATTTGACTCTCCTGGTAAGACAGTATGTGCAAAATCTAGTATCGTATCTAATATCAATTACTTTTCAGATTTAGAAGAAACCTTAACAAGTAGATTGTGTATCGCACCATTGTTGCGCCATACACCTCAGGTGAATTATATACCTCAACTGCATCTTGCACCTCAAGTACATCAAAACTCACATCTGTGTCACACATCGCAGCTGGATCTCACGCACCAGCTGCAGGTGTGTGGGGTCCCACTAGCAGTGACAACTACTACTAAGACCGCAGCATCTGGTGAAGCTCAAGATTTTAAGCACTCAGCACAAATGTTAAGAAGACTCAGCACAAATCTAAGGCTGGAAAGGCAAGCCAATGAAGCTAATAACGGTAAAAATAATAAAATATATAAAGATAAAGAGGTTATTAATCTAGAATGTGTTGTTTATTTTATTTATTGGAATGTAAAATGGTAATTGAAATTCTTTATTAAAGAAGTACCCAATGTTCAAGCTCCAATAGTTGTACTGGATGGAGAATCATTACCTTTAGCACTGTCCGAACCCATGAATAGTAGTGTACAATCTCGTGATGTAATGGACGGAGCATCATCTCCAAATCAACCAGACATTAATACACCAGCACTGAGCTCAGAAGATGAGTACGTGTAGTAGCAAAAATTGTAACATTACAAACAAAAGGAAACATGTCACTGTAGATACCAATTACATGCGTTCATTCATTATAGCAAAAGATATTGTTGGGTATGTTTTGCAACGGATGAAGATGACGCTACTGCTTCTTGGGTTAAACCATGTCATTGTCGAGGTACAACAAAATGGGTTCATCAAGGGTGCATACAAAGATGGGTGGATGAAAAGCAAAAAGGACGTGCAGGTGCACATGTGGCATGCCCACAGTGTAATACAGAATATATTATTGTATATCCAAACATGGGTCAGTTGATTTTTAATTGATTTTATTGAGTGTAAAAAAAAAAATTACGTAAACAATATAGGTCGACTATTACTATAGGACCGTTAGTAGTAGTATTGGATACTATTGATGGAGTAATCTTCCGAATTTGTCCATTTATCGCGGCCAGCATAGTTGCTGCATCTATATACTGGACGGCTGTAACGTATGGAGCAGTAACTGTAATGCAAGTCGTTGGTCACAAGGATGGCTTAGCTATGATGGAACAGGCGGATCCTATGGTGTTACTAGTTGGCTTGCCAACAATTCCAATAATGTTGGTTTTGGGAAAGATGTTGAGATGGGAGGATCAAGCGCTTAGCCTTTTACGACGACATGCATGCAAAGTTCCTATTCTCAGGCATTTCTTACCTAACAGGTATGCATGAATTTCAATTCATAATATATATGTATATTGTACGTTTTATAATCATTATAAATATTGATTATTTTAGCTATTCTAGTGATGATAGGGCACAATCCGAAGATGTACCGCCTATGAGTGATCCAGTATCGGCAACACGTATCCTTTGTGGTGCACTCCTTTTACCTAGCATTGCCAGTATATGTGGCAAAATATTTTTTAAAAGTATACCCTCTAATTTTCAAAGAACATTACTTGTACGTATTGATCATGATTATTATATTAAGGAACAAATATTGTAATGACTTTATTAAAAATATTATTTTTCAGGGAGGTATAGCATTTATAACGATAAAGGGTGCGTTCAAGATATATCATAAGCAACAACAGTATGTAAGACAATGTCAGCGTCGTATAATGGACTATACAGAAAATAATGTCGCATTGTATGGAAGACAACAAAACTCCGAGACCAATCAGTCAAGTTAAATGAACATGGATGTGACAAATTATTGGAAAAATATACTATCAACAGACACCTCTTCTCAGTTTAGAAGAGTTAAACTTTATAGCATACCTTAAGGGATGTCCAGCATATTACTTTATCTAACAAAATATGTTTATGGGTATTTTAATCGGGTCTAAAAAATGTATAAGTTATATGTACATATATATGTATATTATCACAACCTACTTTAATACCTAGCCATTTACATAGACAACACCGCGGAAGTCCGGCTTTCGTTGTGCAACCACATTTCATTCTCAGCATGACTAGATCTTAAAGTAGGCTATGATATTATAGATAATAATGAGAAAGTGTCATGTATGTGTGTATGTGTGTGTGCCCTTACATAGAAATAAGAATTGAGATATGTTAATGCAATTCAATTTTTTCTGCTTGACATGATCATAGGTCATAGACATAGACGTAATCAAATGTCACTTATGCTAAATTTCTAGTCTGTTAACAAGAAAACGTATATTTTGTGAAACTAATTTTGCACAAATTTAATGTGCATTAAAAAATAGTACAGTCATCTTCTGAGAAATTATTCATATTTTGACTTCTAATGTAAAAGGGGACACAGTCTTTGTAGAAGAAATTTATTTCTATTATAGATAAGTCTTGGATTAGGTATTGAATTATAATTATATATTTAATATATCCAATAAAGAATTTTGGAATAAAATTTTATTTTATATAAATGTTTTATTTCTGCCATAGACAAAAAAAATTAGTAAAC